TGTATGGTCATACAGGCGACCCCCCCCCAGGCCTCGCAGCCCCCTCATTTTCCTTCTGCTGCTGGGCGCATCCTTGTTACACAAGCGAGATAGTCTTGACCTGGGCTGGCGCCCCTGAAACTTGTTACCATCACCCTTCCCTCACGATTGGCCATGCCCTTGTGACAGCTGCAGGCCACCGAATGTTGTCCCCGCCAAGGCCCTATCGCGTCGCACATCAGTTCACAGAAGCCGCCCCCGTGATTGAAAAAAACGGTCATTCTGAACACAGGATCCGGATGCCTGAGTGTCAAACATCGAGAATAATGGCGCTGGACTTGGACCACCCAACTGACCACATAGGACGTCCACATCAACCCAGTCGGTCTCACCGAGTTGACCTCCATACTTCAGCAAGCTCATCGCATCGGACTGGGGCCCGTCCTTTGGAGTCGATCATTCCGAATCATAATACCACACCTTGGTCAACCATCTCAAAAAAGATGCCTTGATTATTACACAAGGACAGGAGTGTGCGGTCGACTCCTATTGTTACCGTACCGAGGCCTTACACCTGCCTCACCCACTTTCCATTCCCATGGGTAGTCTATATCACTAGCCTCCCGTACCAGCTCGTCGCTTTCGCCCTTCTTCTTTTAATGCCTCGTCAGACCCCCTTCTTTCATCCTGCACCCGACCCTGCTTGCGACCACCTTCGGGATCGTCATTCCCACTCGCCTAAAGGTTAGTACAGAGACTCTGAAACCCGCCATTACCCTCAAACCCCTCAGTCACAAGCATTCATACCACAAAACAGGCGAAAAACCAAGGAAAATCATAAAAGAATATTTTTGCTTTACAAAAGAAACATTCGGCTGGTAGACAGCCGCCTGACACCGGATGGACCTGACCGCTGGGGTACCTGACTTTACCTTTCTGAACCGGCCAAGTTGGCCTATTGAATTGGGGCCTCCGACCCTGAAATCCGAATTTGGGGTCTGCATCGTAAAATGCCTTTCACTGGCTTAGCTTGACGGGTGTGAGGGACTGATTGTATCCTGTGGTGAGGAGGGCAAGGGGGGGGGGGGGGGGGGGGGGGGGGGGGGGGGAGGGGGAGGAAGGAGAAGGAGAAGGAGACAGATGCGGCAACGTGCTGAAGCCAGGGAGAGACACACGAAGCAATGAGAACCACCATGCCTTAATCAGAAAAGCCAAACATTCTCCCACTTCACAATCCTCTCATGCGTCACCATGTCACTAGCCCAGCGCAAAAGAAACCTGGCGAAATCCTCGACCGGTTTCGTTGGCTCGCCTCCCAACTCATCAGGAGGTGCTCATCCGAGCTTCAGTTTCGGAGGATGAGAGCCTTGCCTTGCCCTCTATAAGTAGCTTGCGGTGCTGCGTACCCAGCGCTCGGACTGGCCTACGTCAAAGAAACGTAACAAAACTTCTCACCCAGAGATGTCATGTTTGAGGTGGGCAATACGGCGCGATTCGTGTATGCGGACAAGGCAGCTCACGGATACGAGCCCCTGGCTCATTGAGGTATTGCCATCATTTCTCCCATGTGATTGTTCCACGTTCAATGGTCGCATCATCAACCATTAAGCATCCCCGTTATCAAATCCTTTGTATCTAGCTCTTCGCAGATCTTGAAAACCCGAAAACCCGAAAAAAATAGAAATCCCTTCAAATCCGCCAATAAGTACCTGCCCGAACTAAAACGTGCAGCTTCGAACGGGTAGAACTCGAAAGCACCATCGAAAAATTAAAAATTAAAATTAAAAGATCGACAGCTCTGTTCCTACTCCGGTTCGAAACGGAAGTCGGAACGTGCCGGTACGCAACCGCTATTTTCTATTTGCCATAAAGTCATCCCGGAATCGTCTTTGTACCCTGCTATGTCCCCGGACTTTGACACCCTCATCGTCTGCATTCTGATCCCCTACTCTTACATGACCTAGCTGTCAGAATCCATTTGTACCTTCTCACTACACTGCATCTGTCGACGAAAATGATAAAATACATTTGAGAAAGAGGAGAATACTCTGATGTCACACAGACTCACACTTGCTTGGAGTCAAGCACTGGTCCCACTGGTCTGGGCCGGTTCGGTGCTATCTGCCACAGCGTCCGAACCATGTCGAGAAACGGACCAGAAACCGGCATCGAAGTCTGGCCGAACCAGCCAAACCTTGGAGGAAGACCTCCGGGGGGTATCCCTGGAGGAGTGCCTCCCTGATCACGGCGCACATGCCGGTATCGCTGCTGTAGTGGAAGAGGTCAGCACATGCTGCCTCCGGACCATTGTCCGCTGAGTGTTGATCTTTACAAGTTTTGGAGAATACGACGTGAAGTCCTGCATCGAGTGGAAATGAAGCTGGCCTGTTTGATGCAGAATCTCCATGTTCTTCGTCCTAGGCCAAATCTGGAAGTTGATGGGTGTCACCAAGGCCATCGTGCTTGTGCCTACAAAATCCCACGTGTTATCTTGTACTCCTTTCTCAGTGCAGTAAACCGCGTTCAGCAGCGGCCTGGGCGCTGTAACCCAAGCCCAGGCCCAGCGAGCAGTGCAACCACCGCTGCTCGGCCTCAGGCCGCTGCGGGTGCTGTGTGACCACGCACAGCAAGAAATTCAAAGGTCAAAGTGAACTGTAGGTCCAGGTACCTCGCCCAGGCCCTTGGTCGTGTGCATCGACTTGTATGTGTGCAGGTACCCAGTCAGAACGGTGGACCAAGGAGGATACAGTTTCAACCCAATCCAGGCCGTCGACGACAATCGATCTCGACCGTGTCTGACTTGAGGACTGGGGCCCAGACCCCGCCGTCAACACTACATATTGGGCTGACTTCCTGGATTCGGGGGGAGACTCTCGTCTGGAGTGGAGGGGGACTCGACGCTCTCGCGTCAAGGCAGGCTCTATGCTGTCTTGTTTGGAAACGCTGCGGGGAGAACTGGACGACCGGCGCTCGTCGCTGGTTCGTGGCTTGAGTGTGCTGTGCGACCAGCATGCTGGCTGGCGCACTACTGTCTGAGGGGTTGTCGACATGGCAGATGCCACGTGTCATCTTCGTGGCTGCTGCCACGTAGTATTGCTGCTGAGATGGAAGGCGCTGGGCGCCTGTATTGCTGTTCTGCTTGACAAGTATTCGGAAGAAGGATTCAGGACTGTGGTTTGGGTCGTGATACGTACCTGGTGTCTTCAACTTCGTCGTCACGTTGCTGCTTGATGACTGGTCTGCTGGTGCCACGTGGCACTATTGGTCTACAGTGTCTTGGATATCCGGATCACTGCTTGAGACACGATTATGCGGTTAGGAGGAGGAAGTGCCCGAAGAGAAAGTGAGCTGTAGGGAGGAGACTCTTCCACCCTCTCAAAGTCTATTCTCCCTCCTCCCTCTCTCGTCTGTGTATGTCTTCTCTCTCATTGGGAATCATTATTATTTTGATTTATCAGCAGCGTTCGTCTACTTTGTCTTTCCGAGTGACGACTGATTATCACGACTGGGCACATTGCAGTTTGGTATCGGAGCATTCACCTCCGACATTGTCTTCACGGCGCACGCGTTGTTCTGACGCGCTATGATTACGACGCGCCAGTTTCTCTCCAAGGTCGCGCGCGCCAGGTAAGTAAGTGACGGGATACTCTCTTTTTCGCGACATTATTGTCGCGCGTGTTTTTCAACACGCTGTCTAGACATTGAGCCCGACGACGTGCGCGACGGGCATGATGATGACGGGCAGATTATCTGCCAATGATGATTGATTGCTGATGTGGCACATCCACGTCCATTGAAGATTGGAGCAGGGAACTTCTACTCATGCGCTGATGATGTCTCGCCGACAATATAGAGTTGCCGCATTGCTATCTCGCCAGCCAGAGACAATTGGAGCTGATTGATTGGCTCCTTGATTACTCGCTAGCAATGGCGAGATCCGGCGCTGACGTGGCAGACTTGATTGAACTTGGGATGCGGCGAGAAGATTTGTGAAGCGCAGCATTGTTGGAGTTTACCTTCACGAACGGATCTGGGTAACGGAAAGAAGTGGAGCGGCCAGCATTCCTCGCTGAAGCCACCCCCCCCCACGATCTTGATTGGTTCGACCTGCTAACTTGGCGAAAGCTGAGTTGGCATACCCGGGGTTGGCTGACGCAGGCATGACCTGCCTTGGGAAACGATTGATGCATTCCAACGCTGGGAGCGGCATGAGCAATAGACTCTGACTTGTGGTGCTTACCTGCTGTTGGGGTGATTTGAGTGCATGCTGACGAGGCCTTGTGTGAGGGGAAGACTGACGTTGATTGGTTGTGTTGTCGGTACTTACCTATTGTCTGGCTGTGCATGTACTCATACCTGTTGGATGCTAACGACCTAGGCCTGCTCGATTACTTGGAAATAAAGACGTCACACGAATAAGAGAGAAAAACAAATCAGAACAGCTTATCAATCAAGAAAATAATAAATTATTTTTATTTATTTGTTTTCTTGTGAATTCTTTGCTGTACCGATATTGAGTTGTTGGTCAGTTATCAATAATATTGTCTGTTTTCTTTTATTGAGAAAGGATTGGCCTGTTAAGTTTCCTGTTGACGTTAATCATGGCACCGATTGTTCAACACATGCGTCAGTCTTTGCTGACCAGGTGGGTGCCTCATCTGTTCGGTCTTGGGCATGTGCCTTATGCGGTAGCTCTTCGATGGAACCGCGTACACGTGCCCAGATCGAGGCACGAAGAGGTGAATTGGGAGAACTTCTCTCCCAGCTGCTGGTGGACATGGAATTCGTTGTTCCGGCCGCAAGAGAACACATCCGTGGTAAGTTTGACCTTGAAGTGATCTTTGATCGCTTGGCCAAAGCTACCACGAGTGTAGAGATGGTGGCGCAGCAACAGAGATCCATAAAGTCATTGCCCAGTGTCGTGAGATACTGGACCAGTTCACCATCCAGCAGTAGGAAGAGATTGCCCAACGGAAAGATACCGTGCCAGAAGTAAAGATAGAAAGTATTGAAGAGAACATACAACAGTTGAAAGAGACACTCGCAAAAGAAGAAAGGAAGCGGGAAGAACTGTTGCAAAGAAAAGAACAGGAAACTAGGTTGCAGTAGAGAATGGGTAGAGTTCAGCAGCACGTTTCCTTAGATGAAAAAGATGTTGCTCAGACGCTCGGACAAATATTGACGTATTTGGCTTTTCTTGAAGAAAAGTTAGACCAACAGCAATCTAGAATGGAACAGCAATCTAGAATGGATGAATTCGTTGTTGGCCTTCATGTCATTACTAGCATTGTCAAGGGGAAAGCCCCTATGCTTGAAAATGATGAAGATAAAGAAAGAAGAGCGGACGTCAAGCCCGAGAAGTTGCTTATTGGTGGAATGAAAAACAGCGACACAACGAAGAAGGAAACGGTAAAAGAAACTGAGAAGAAACCGGAAGAGAAACCGGAAAAGAAACCCAATGGGAATGGTGATGGAAACGGGAATGGAGACGGGAATGGAAACGGGAATGGTGGTCCCAACGGTCCCATTCCCCCTCCTAAGGACAATGCCAAACCCGCAGATCCGACTAAGCCAAAGAAAAAAGAAAAGGTGAAGATGAAATTACCTTTCACTTTTTCTAATAAGAAAGAAGAAAGCCTTCCACTCTGGATCGCAGAGATCCAGACCTMTGTTGGGACTGCACCGGTAGAAGAAGAGTCGCAAGTTGCGTTTACCACTTCTTGTATGGGTGGTGAAGTGAAGCAGTGGGTTCTGGCGGAGGCGAATGCCGCGGGGTTTGACGATATAGGTGAGTGGGCGAAGATGATGACCTTGAAGCAGTTCCTTGCAAAGGTCAAGGACCGCTTCTTGGACAAGACCACGACCGATAAGGCCTTCGACCAACTTACCTCGATAGGACAGAAGTCCTGATCTTCCGTTGAGTCATTGTCTCGTGAGGTGGACCGCCTGTTGCAGGTTCCTGGTCTTAACCTGCAGGACTCTCAGGTCCTTTATATCTACTCCCGCGCGTTGCCCGAACCGATACAAGGGCACTTGGTCGCCGAGGCCAAGTCAGGTAAGTATACCTACCGCCAGTTCCGCGACCTTGCATTGCAGCGGGAACAAACGACTTCGCAAGTCAAAGGTTCCTATGCTGCTGCCGTAAGGAATGGAGGAGGAGGCGGCCGAGGAGGCTACGGCAGGCGGGTCATATGGCGTCAAAAGCGCCAAGACCACACCCTCGTCGTATTCGACGACGATACAATGGAGAAAAGGTCATTGGAGTCCGAGGGTGGTGGTGAGAGCAACAGTGACTCCGGAAAGGGGGAGATCACTGCTGCGACGGTCAACAAGGGAGGACCATCATCGAACACTCGACCGAAGGAAAGACCACGCTCCTTCTCATACCATCCTGGGATTGCGGCCGGCAGACCGTGGCTGAAGATGGGACTAACCCGGGAGGTGTGGCAAGATAGAATGGATAATGCTCAGTGCCTCAAATGTGGCACTGCGGGGCATGTCACTGTCTTTTGTCCGTTGATTAGGAATTCAAAAGGGAGAAGCCAGTAGGAATAACATCTGTTCCTATAGAGTCGGAGAGTGCGATCACATGGAAGGCGCCTACGATCCCTTTCCACACTCCGACTCCCGTGGCAGAGGATGGAAACCCTTCTGCCCGTCGTTCAGATATCCCCACTCATGTCTTATGTCTGTCTCTGGACGACTCCCTTGACGAGCTGGGTAGCGAGCTAGTTGCGTTACGCAGTTCGTGGGCGAAGAAAGTCAAGTCTAAGGGGGAACTATTGATTGCCGATTTGGTTGTCAATCGCACACACGTTGGTGCGATGCTGGAACCTGGGTCCACACGATCTTACATGTCTGAACGTGCAATCCGCAAGTTGCACCTCGGCATGAAGATCCAAACGTTAGCTAGACCAATCATGTCTATGTTGGCTGACAAAAGCACGATGACGGTAACGCAGTACGTCGATCGTGTTCGATGTCAGTTCAGTACTAAGGATGGGAAGAAGATTTGGCATGAGCTTCCCTTCCTAATCGAGAAGAACATGCCATTTGATATCATCTTGGGAATGGATTGGCACGAGGAAGCTGATCCCAAGATTGATTTCAAACAGAAAGAAGTACGAATCAAGGATGAATCGTCTGAATTGCAATCAATTAAGTTGTATCATCGGTCAGGGTCTGATTCTGTCTTGTCTTTCTGTTGCATGAGCTACCCTGCATTTGTCTCTTATACACATCTAGATGTGTATAAGAGACAGGGGTCTGATTCTGTCTTGTCTTTCTGTTGCATGAGCTACCCTGCATTCCGATCGATGGTTGCAAAGAAGAAGTTAGAGGATGAGGTAGTAATGTTGTTAGTTAAGAAAGTAGGAGAGTCTTCAACTACCCATCCTCCTGGCATAGATGCACTCCTAACGGAGTTTACCGATATTATGTCTGAGCCTACCGGGGTCACTTCGCGAGTTATCAAGCACACGATCGAGATCGTGCCCGGTAGCAAGGTTCCCAAGGGCCCTATCTATCGCATGTCTCCAAGGGAACTTGAGGAACTAAAGAAACAATTGTCTGAGTTGACGGAGAAGGGATGGATTCGCCCTAGCTCCTCTCCTTATGGCGCACCTGTCTTGTTTGTGCCCAAAAAGGAAGGTGAGTTGCCCCTTTGCATCGATTACCGAGGGTTGAATGCCGTCACCGTCAAAAACGCTGAACCTTTGCCAAGGATCGACGATCTCTTGGATCAGTTGCAGGGTTATAAGGTCTTTAGTAAGATCGACCTTAAGTCTGGGTACCACCAGATCGAGGTGGATCCGGCCGATCAGCATAAGACCGCGTTTCATACAAGGTATGGTCATTACGAGTTCATCGTGATGCCATTTGGTCTAACGAACGCACCTGCGACCTTCCAAAGGTCCATGAACGAGTTGTTCAGGCAATGGCTCGACGACTTCGTCATCGTCTATCTGGATGATATTCTAGTATATAGTAAAACACTAGACGATCACCAGAAACATCTACGTCTAGTACTCGGGAAGTTATGCGAGGGTAACTTCAAACTCAACCCAAAGAAATCCAAGTTCGCTAAGTCTGAGGTCCTATACTTGGGACTTATAGTGAACGAGGAGGGATTAAGGCCTGAGGAAAAGAAGATCTCGGCAATCAGAGATTGGCCGCAGCCAAAGACTCTGACAGACCTTCGATCTTTTCTTGGTTTGGCGAGTTACTATAGGAAGTTCGTTAGGAACTTTTCTGTTATCGCTGCACCAATGAGAAGGTTGCTTAAGAAAGGTACTGTCTGGCTATGGGATAAGGATTATGATTTGTCTTTCCGAAAGATGAAATATGCTCTAACTCACTAACCTGTCCTCAAGATTGTCGACCCGTCCCTTCCTTTCATTGTTACGACTGACGCAAGTCAGTATGGTGTTGGCGCTGTCTTACAGCAAGACGACGGCAAGGGCTACCGCCCTATTGAGTTTATGTCTAAACGACTGCCGTGCGACAAAGTCGCCAACTCCACCTACGAAAGGGAGTTATATGTATTAAATTGTGCCCTAGAAACGTGGAAACACTATCTCCTTGGCAGACACTTCACTGTGTACTCGGACCACTCGACTCTAAAGTGGATCAAGACACAACCTCGATTGTCTAACAAGTTGGTGCGTTGGTCTGCTTTTATTGATACCTTTGATTTCGAACTCAAAACAATTAAAGGTAAGTCTAATGTTGTAGCAGACGCACTATCTAGGAGGAGTGACTTCTTTGGGGCTATCGTCTCTTACCTGGATGTTGGGAATGATGTGAAAGCTCAGATTCGCGCTGGATATGCCACTGACCCTGTCTGGAAACCAATCATGGATATCCTAGCCAAGGATCCATCCCAACTTCCTCACTACCGATTGTCTGATGGCTTACTCTTCTTGTTGGACCAAACTGAACAGAGATTATGCATTCCTCACAAGGAAGAACTTAAAAGTCTGCTGATTGGGGAATGTCATGACACAGAGGGACACTTTGGTTTCAAGAAGACGTATGCTGAAGTACGTAAGCACTATGAATGGAAGGGTTTGAAAGAGGATGTGCTAACATATGTTCATACATGCTAAGTATGTCAGAGAAACAAACCGTCTACTGAGAAACCTTTGGGGTTACTCCGACCACTACCTATACCGAGTGAGCCACGTGAGTCTGTATCCATTGACTTTATGAAACTCACCAAGTCCCGAAACAGCAATAGTCAAGTTATGGTTGTGGTTGATCGTTTCTCTAAATATGCTATGTTCATACCCTTGCCTGCGGAAGCCAAGACTGAGCTTGTGATTGCTAAATTTCAGATGCGATGGGTAACTGAATATGGGTTCCCTATGTCTATCGTCTTTGACCGCGATGTCAGATTCACAAGCATGCCTTGGCAGAAATTGATGGAAGCCTACGGTACACGGCTCACCATGTCGTCAGGTAGACACCCTGAAACGAATGGACAGTCTGAGCAAATGAACCGTTTAGTCCAACAACTTCTGAGAATGTATGTCCGTCCTGAACAAATAGACTGGGACGATAACTTACCGAAGATTGCTGGTGCCTATAACAATAGTGTGCATACCGCTACGGGACGCACACCTAACGCACTGCATAAAGGCTGGAAGCCTAAGCGTCCCATAGATGTTCTAACAAGGGACCAGTTTCTTAGACTTCCACCAGGGACTAAGGAATATGCCATTCTGTTTCAAGAAGACATAAAAAAGGTAAAGGAAAATCTAAGGAAAACCCAAGAACGCATGATTGAACAAGCTAATAAACACCGACACCCGTCTACTTTTCAAGTTGGTGACTTAGTCTGGGTGAAGAAGATGTTTCTCAGAAACTGATGCCTGTCTATCTAGGACCCTGGGAAGTTCTCAAGGTGATAGGGGATGCCGAAGGACCATCATACCGGATTGACATTCCCCCTCATCTTCGGACATACCCTGTCTTTCACGCGTCTAAGCTGCTTCCATATGTAGAAGGAACAGAATTTTCTCACCGACCATTTGCCATACCTCCTTCTATGAATGGCAGCTATGTGGTTGAGAAAATTACTGACCATGGATACTTTTCAAGTTGTGGAAGAGGCAGACCTCAAAAGCAGTATAAAGTGAGATTCCAGTTCCAAGATGCCTCTGAAGACCGTTGGTTTAGCAGACGGGAACTGATGGATACGGCTCCTGATATTGTTGCTAGCTATGAACGCGGACTGAAGTCTTAAGTATTTCTGCGGTGGAACTCGAATTCGGGCCGGCAGGAATGCAGTAAACCACTTTCAGCAGCGGTCTGGGCGCTGTAACCCAAGCCCAGGCCCAGGGAGCAGTGCAACCACGCGCTGCTCGGCCTCAGGCCGCTGCGGGTGCTGTGTGACCACGCACAGCAAGAAATTCAAAGGTCAAAGTGAACTGTAGGTCCAGGTACCTCGCCCAGGCCCTTGGTCRTGTGCATCGACTTGTATGTGTGCAGGTACCCAGTCAGAACGGTGGACCAAGGAGGATACAGTTTCAACCCAATCCAGGYCGTCGACGACAATCGATCTCGACCGTGTCTGACTTGAGGACTGGGGCCCAGACCCCGCCGTCAACACTACATATTGGGCTGACTTCCTGGATTCGGGGGGAGACTCTCGTCTGGAGTGGAGGGGGACTCGACGCTCTCGCGTCAAGGCAGGCTCTATGCTGTCTTGTTTGGAGACGCTGCGGGGAGAACTGGACGACCGGCGCTCGTCGCTGGTTCGTGGCTTGAGTGTGCTGTGCGACCAGCATGCTGGCTGGCGCACTAYTGTCTGAGGGGTTGTCGAYATGGCARATGCCACGTGTCATCTTCGTGGCTGCTGCCACRTAGTATTGCTGCTGAGATGGAAGGCGCTGGGCGCCTGTATTGCTGTTCTGCTTGACAAGTATTCGGAAGAAGGATTCAGGACTGTGGTTTGGGTCGTGATACGTACCTGGTGTCTTCATCTTCGTTGTCACGTTGCTGCTTGATGACTGGTCTGCTGGTGCCACGTGGCACTATTGGTCTACAGTGTCTTGGATATCCGGATCTCTGCTTGAGACAAGATTATGCGGTTAGGAGGAGGAAGTGCCCGAAGAGAAAGTGGGTTGTAGGGAGGAGACTCTTCCACCCTCTCAAAGTCTATTCTCCCTCCTCCCTCTCTCGTCTGTGTATGTCTTCTCTCTCATTGGAAATCATTATTATTTTGATTGATCAGCAGCGTTCGTCTACTTTGTCTTTCCGAGTGACGACTGATTATCACGACTGGGCACATTGCATCAGTGAGGATGATCCCCTCTGTCTAACTCTCCACGAAGGTCTGGACCATGGCTTCAGCCTTAACCATTGCTCCCAATTCCCCTGCAGAATAGCCTACAAACAGAGTGATATCGTCCATCACTCGAATCCCATCACACAAAGCTTTGTCTTTCCCCAAGGAAGCCATAAACTGGAAGTCCGCGTGGGCACACGGGATACACGCCAGAGCGGGGCTCGTAGCCCGGCCCATTGGGATCCCAGATACCTGTCTGATAGGCTGTGCCTGACATGAACCAAAAGAGGTCGTGAGCTGGAATTCAAGCATCTCCCGAATCTGCTGCATTGTGATCGTGATATAGCTGCAATGGCTTTCTGATTTTGACTGCCGAGCCTGACTGCGAGGCCGTACAGTAACAGCGGTAGGGTAGATTCATAATTTTGTTTGGCTGAGGGCTAACGAAGAGACCTACCTGTACGGAAAATTCGTGAGGGACATATCTGCAAATATGGGAAATATAGGCCCAGCACTAACCCGAATTTCCTACAGCTACCCCCACTGCGTATAGCAGACCCGGGCTACCCCTAGGACGGACAGGCCCGAAGGGCCTATACCGATAGACGGTCCTATAGCCTATAGCTGGGTAGGTAGAAGCCGAGAGGCCGAAACTGGAAACGGTACCGATCGGTCCAGTCAGTCAGGTTTAGGCCTAGGTTAGAGTAGTCTAGATCTATTAATAGTTTAGGGAAATCGGTTCAGGACTTTTGGCAGTTCATTCTTGCGAAGCAGCATTTGGAGAAGCCAAGCAAGTTGGCGGTGGTAATTGTCTACAGGCGGCATCCTGAGACCTTTGCCGTGGACGGCAGCCATAGCCGGCCTTCTGAAGGTTGTCAGAGCTGGGATATCCTCAGCGCATCTACCCTGGGGGTATCTGCGCCTGGCCGCGCTATCTCGAGGCTTTTCACTGAGTATTCGTGGGTGGCGGCAGCCATAGCTGCCGGTTCTTCGTCAGAGTTGTTCATCGGCACTGAAGACTTCATCACAGGATATGTTCTTCATCTGGGTGGTTGGCGCTGGCCTCTGGGAGGCCATTTCGGTGTTACGCTACTAACGGGGTGTAGGGTAGAGAGTGGAGTGTGGGGTTCTGAGAGTGGCGAGACACTGGAACAAACTCTGTACCGATATTTGGTTTTAATTGGCTCATCATCAGTGTGATTCCGATTGTTATCCTCGCAGGTTTCTTCTTGTGATTGGTTGTTGGGAGTACTGTCAGAGAGTGAGGAACACTGTGTGTCTTCTCCCCACCTGTGCATAGCTGTATTCCGCTGCCTATTTTGATCTGTGTACAGTTTGGACTCTGTCTCCTCTCTCCCTTCTCTTATGTATGTATGGGCGTGTATGAGACTATCTGTGTGCGAGTGGCGGTAAAAATCGTCAGACAACCAAGTTCATAACAGTTAGTATCAGAGTGGGATGGGGATTGGAGCACTGAGGGTTGAGTGCAATAGAGGCATCTTCTTCATCTGGCGATCTAATGGCGAGGAGTTTCATGGCGATTCATCTTCTCCAATACTGAGACAACAGGGAAGAAGATTTCAAGCGGTGAATTCAGGAGTTCAGTAGTTGTACTGAACAAGCGCACTGAGCCTGTCAGGGCGCTGTCGAGCGCATCGGTCCGGCACCGCATCAGGGCAGCGCAAGACCCTCCCGGCCGCGTCACGCAGGAGTTGGTTTTTGAAACCCTTCATCGCAATATACATGGAGCTTTCACAAGCCGCTCCGGCCGAGTGCGCCAGCCATACCTCTCGCGAGCCCCTACGACAGGATAGGGCCTACGCGAGGCACGACTTACCTACACCTTATGGGAACCGTCACTTCCCTTCGGTGGGCGTATCCCCGCCGAGCTACCAGTCCACAGTACGAAAGCTAATCAGTTGCAATCGCAGAGGTGGAACAGCCGAGGGCGTTTCTCGTTCGCTGTAGCATAGGCGGTACGTGCGGTAATACGCCTCTATCGGACCCGCACGCGAACCGACATCTTGGGGGGCTGAAGTCCCAAGCGCGGCCCGTCGTTGGTCGACTAGGACGTATTCCACACACCACGCGCACACCACTTTACGAACACAAAAATAAAACACACACACGCACACATACGAAACGACACAACACAAACAACGCAACAACGCTCCTAGCCCCTCGGTAGCCAACCCATAACTTTCCAATGCGGAAATCGGGTAGGCGTCGCGCATGAGACTTAATATAAAACTGCGCGCACGCAGGGCTATCGCATATCGACTCGCAATGCAAGCGTACGCAAGCAGTCGCGATGATGGAGTACTATGTAGTGCCCATAATCAAGCGGTCCCTCGTGGATCCGAGTACCGCTTATGACACTCAAGTGTCAGACTCGAAGCGTCGTGAGGGTCGAACCCTTCACGACATTGCACGACTGAAGGAATAGTCGTGCAACCGCCACGAGACCTCCGGCCTTTGATGTGGGCGTCTCGGTAGGCAAGGCAAATAGGCTCTGCGCGAGGGAAAACCCCTCCTCTGCAGACCCTAGGGCTTGAGATGTCCTGGACAAGGACCTCGAATCCCGGCCCAGGACCAACGTCCGACTAAGAAAATTCTCAAGAAGAACAAGCAAAAAATAAACGAAGAGATCATCCCTAGGCTTCTCAGTCTTACCTTCTAAGTATCCTCTTTTGTACGGGGCCCCTTAACCCATGCAGGCATTCACCCTACGTACACCCATGTATATATATATATATATATTGTATATATATATATATATTGTATATATATATATATATATATATATAAAGGGGAAAGATATGTGACGATCACTTCTCACAGTCTCATTGGGGTCCCTCACAGCCATACGTATATATGTGATCGCAGGCAACCAAATCCAGAATCTAATTCATAACACATACCTGTAAATCACATCAACGAGTCAATCGACAGCCCACGCACTACACGGAGTCAACCCCAACCACCTTCAACATTCATACCCCTTGCTTTAGCCATGCAAGCCCCAACCTCTTGTCCAACCAACCTTAATTAAATACTCAGTACCTTTGTTAAATGGCCATTCAATAAAAGTCCGGGTGAAACCATAACGAAACAATGTAATCACCAGGGCTAAAGCTTTTTAGGTTGAGTGTGAAGGGTGGGTTGGAATTGAGTCGTAAACCGACGAATCGGCAACCGACCTGTTATCAGTGATAACAGATAATGATCCTCAAGGGATCAAACCGAATCTAGTCCTGACCTTGAATCAGACAACCCAAAGGACCTGTAACACAAGATAGGTCAAATGTCCAGGCTAAATCATCAGCATATGGGGGATAAACCTCCATAGCACACCTCCATATAACACTCTCTAGCGCCACCTGTTGAAAATAATCTAACTCCTCTGAAAACAGGGAAATTTTGGCAACGCTTCCCGTAGGAAAAGTGCTCTCTCATAATTTATATAAGCCTAAATATGAAATCAAAAATAACCCTTGACTCTCCAAAGCCCAATTTTGTCTAACTCCCTGAATTAGCAAAATTTTGGGCAGCGCTCGCTTTAGAAAAGGAGGCTTCTCCGAATTTTACTAAGTCATATATGAAATTTAGACAAGCTGAATTTTGAGAAGTCGAAAATTTGACTAACTCCCCGAATTAGTAAAAATTTGGGCAGCACTCCCTTTAGAAAAGGAGGTTTTCCATATTTTTACTAAGCCAGATATAATGAAAAGATAAGTCAAACTTTGACAAGCCAAACTTTTGACTAACTCCCTGAATTAGCAAAAATTTGGGCATCACTCCTTTTAGAAAGGGAGGCTTCCCATATTTTTACTAAGTCACAAAGACAAGTCAAGTTTGGACAAGGCAAGATTTAACTAACTCTTTGGATTTGTAAAACTTTCGGCAGCGCTTCCCGTAGAGAAAGTGGCTTGCCAAGATTTATACAATGCAAAGTATAGGAAAAAATCCCAGAAAATGCAAGAATTGATTTAAGTAAAAAAAGTTATTACAGAAAATA